ACATGTCTGAAAAGTAGTCATTTATTCTTCAGCTTATGACGTAGGGATGAACTGTTTTGTAAGGTAGTCATTTATTCTTCAGCTTATGACGTGGGGATGAACTGTTTTGTAAGGTAGTCATTTATTCTTCAGCTTATGACGTGGGGATGAACTGTTTTGAAAGGTAGTCATTTATTCTTTAGCTTACGACGTGGGGATGAACTGTTTTGTAAGGTAGTCATTTGTTCTTCAGCTTACAACGTAGGGATGAATTGTTTTGTAAGGTAGTCATTTATTCTTCAGGTTATGACGTGGGGATGAACTGTTTTGAAAGGTAGTCCTTTATTCTTCAGCTTATGATGTAGGGATGAACTGTTTTGAAAGGTAGTCCTTTATTCTTTAGGTTATGATGTAGGGATGAACTGTTGTAACAAGCAAAACTAATAACTATAAAACTCTAAAAGCCCAGAGCCAAACTTATTCTTTAGTAAAATTATTAATCTGTTAGAAATATATATAAACTTCAACAACTTGGGGAACTGTTTACTTTATGATCTACATGTCTGGTTTGGTTTGAATTTCGCACAAAACTACACAGGGGCTATATGCACTAGCCATCCCTAGTTTAGCAGCGATAGACTAAAGGGAAGGCAGATAGTGAACATTACCCACTACAAACTCTTGGGCTACTCTTTTACCAACAAATAGTGGTATTGACCATCACTTTATAATGCCCCCACAGTTGAAAGGATGAGCATCTTCGGTGGCAGGGATTCAAACAGATTGGGAGTTATATGCCCTGACTGTATCTTTTGTTGGATAGGCTAAGCTTCTGGACAAGTTGGATAAGATTATAACAGTATAAGGAAGGTTAAAAGCTATATTTACTCATTTAGATTTTCGTTGCTTTCTTTTGTTTAGACTCGGAGATTTGTTCTTCTCAATCTTATGTTTAATAATCACAAACATTCTAACGTGCCATCTACATCAGTAACGATTCATGTACTGCTACTATGCTAGTTGTTTAATAAATAGTCAGTACCATTACTAATATTAAGACTTAGATACTATACATACATACAGTGAATAGGCCTATACCTTATCTGAATGAAGATCTGGATCCTCTTGGCAAAGTCGACATAAGAATGACTTTGGATCTCTACATAAAGTAGTTTTGGTGGTTAAAAAGTACGTACCACCAACATTTAGCTTTACCCACTGATTACGTGAAATTTTGGAATTTATAATGTTAGAACAAGACTCCGTTTCTTGATCCGCACCCTGTGTTCGCCCAACCCCATGCTTAGCCGCCATGTTTGTGAATTAACATGCGTAACAGTATGTCAGCGGATCTTTTAGTTTTAGCGATAAAATAGATAATTAATATGTTCATTCAGCTCATGAAAAATTATAATTTTTAGTTAATAATTTTTGATAGTTAAGTTGTAAAATATAAATATATATACTTAAACAAAACTATCTAGTTAATATTTATTTTCTCATTTTTGTATTCAAAAAACAATATATATTGATGTTGATTAATTATGTATTTCATAATTCACAATTTTCAATATATATATATATATATATATATATATACTATTAATAGTTTATTAGTAAACAGTATTTACTTA